AGGTTCTGTGAGTCTTTCAATCTGACTTCTGTGACCTGCCGGCTTCCGCTCAGAATGGCCTGGGGCCTCTTCTGGCTTCCGCCCAGAATAGCCCAAGACATCTTCTGACTCCTCAAGCCAGAACGGCCGCACTCCTTCACACAAGGTCCTGCTTTGTGCAAGCGCTCCACGCCTACACTAACAATACATGGAAAGGGCTTCAGGTTCAAGCAGTAGCAGTAGTAGTAGTAGTAGTAGTAGTAGCAGCAGCAGCAATAGTAGTAGCAATGGTAGTAGCAGTAGCAGTAGCACTGAAAGTAGTAGTAGTAGTAGTAGTAGCAATAGCGGTGGTAGTACCTGTCGTAGTACTTTATTTTCACCATTGTCACTCTAATTGCTATTATTGAAGCTTGCCTATGAACCGCTGGCGTTCTTGCAGCTGGGCTTCGCTAAGACCTGACCTTCAAGAACGCCTCCGTCGAAAGGCCTGCGGCCTTCCAGATCCTAAACCCTAAAGCCTACAGCTTAAACCTTAAAGCCTCAACCCTAAACCCTAAAGCCTAAACCCTAAAGCCTGCAGCCTAAACCTTAAAGCCTAAACCCTAAAGCCTAAACCCAAACCCTAAACCCTCAACTCTAAACCGCGACAGCCCAAAAGCTCGCCCCAAGAGCAGCTGGAGCTTGAGACCCGGTAGGCAGCGGCCTCTCGACTTCGAATCTCCTTCTGGAAACCTACAAGAGACAGCCCCAGACTTCCGAAACCACTCCGGGCAGGGCCGCCAGCAAAAAAATCAGTGAGATCCCTGAACCCTCGACCTCAGACCTTGAACCCTAGACCCTAAACCCCTGAAATCCTGAAATCCTCAAACACTCTATGGGAATACCCTGGCCCTAGACCCCGGAAATCCTGAAATCCTAAAAACACTCCAGGGCCCCGACAAGGAGCAGGGCGATGGCTGTCGGGGGGTCGAAGGCCTGGGCCAGGCTGGTGGCGTTGAGCCACCACCTCGGTTTAGGGTTTGGGGTTTGGGGTTTAGGGTTTAGGGTTTAGGGCTCGGAACAGACTCTCACGGCTCGGGTGTTCCTTTAGAAGTTCCCTTAGAGGCTTCGGGTTGAGGGTTTTGGGAGTTTAGGGCTTTGGGGTTCGGGGGTTTGAAGGTTCTGGGCTTTTGGGGCTTTCTGTAGGGGGCGTCTTTTCAGGGCTCGGATAAGGGTTGTTGTAAGGGATACAGCTCACACGGGTCCCTTCGTCATGCTGTCGCACTTCCCAGCCACCCGGACTCCACCCGCAAAGCGTTAACCTGAGGATCCGAAACTGCGTCGAAACAAGCAATAGTAATGGTAATAATGGTAATCATGATAGGAAAAGCTATAGTAATAGAAACGGTAAGAATAATCATAATGTCAATACAATATAATGAAACAACAGCAATGGTAGCAAGAAAACCAATAGTAGCAGTAGTTATACGAGTAATAGAAGTAGTAATACTTCCAAGGCACGTGTGCAGGAAGCAAGCTGTGACCATGCCTTCCACAGGGACTCTGAAGGGGTGGATGGAAGAAGCATCAGGATTCTCAATCCGACATGCACTCAGATCAGGCAATCGTCCCACCTGACACTGCACTCAGGGTGCAGAGCGCGCGCGTTGCACCGCCTCGCAGCACCTCGCCCAAGACGTTCAAGACCTTCCGAGAGAAGTTGGGGGATCGTGCGATTGGCACCTGTGAGGGTCAAGGGTTGAGCTGGTGCTTAAGGGAGTCTGGCGACCTGGTGGCTATGGACGGGACTGCAACAGACATGAGCACAGCTTGCGGCTCCTGAGTTTAGCGAAACATGGCTGCCTAGTCTCTGAACTGGCAGTCAGCTTCTGGCCAGGAGCATGTTTACTTTCGCACTCCCTACGCGGGGGATCCGGCCTTCGAAGCCATCCACATCTGCGCGAAGCCACCCATCAGGACGGTGGCAGTGCTGCCGACAGCGGCACGCAAAACATTAAAGTCTGCCACTTTCTCGAGGATGCTCAGGATGCGGACTGCATCTTCACCTCAATGCGACGGGCCCTGAACGTCAGAGACCCACGACTGCTCACTCACAAGGGGCACTTTACTGCCTTGTTCTACTTCGGATCCAGGCCCAGGGGCGGGTCCACCACCAGGAGACAGACTCCGACTCCTCCTCTGCAATCACAAAGTAGGCGTAGGCCAGCCCACATGGAACCACGATGGCACTCCAAACGTTCGGCGTGATGCTGACGAAAAAGGCTGCAAACCACCCCAAGCCGGCCGCCTCTGAATCGAAAGAAACGTCCCAAACTTCTAAAAAAAAACCTAAACCCTACACCCTAAACTAGCTGCAGCAAACTTAAGACGTCCAATGCGGAACTTACAAGCTGGGTCTGCTGCTCTGACAGTTTTCGCGGTGGAGAGATACAATCCTACGCTCCACCAGGCGTCTTGAACCATGGCCCTCCCAAACGAACGCAGGGCACATATACACGAACGCACATATACATGGTGCAGCGCTGCCAGGCCCCCCCTCCCCCACCACCCCATTGTATCCCCCGGGGGGAACTCACCCGGCGACACGAGAGCATACATACGTGTATGTATGTATGTATGTATGTATGTATGTATGTATGTATATACATATACATATGCAAGTACATATACATATGCATATACATATACGAAGACAAATACAGATACATGCACATGCACTGGTACATCTAAAGTATACATAGACAGATGAATTTTCATATACATCTACACATACACATTCCAGATTTTGCATATGGTGTAAGTATGTGTATGTATGTGCAAATGTTTCGCATGCACATGCACGTAGGCAAGCATCTAAACGCATATGCATGCCTATAAACGTATGTATCGGAATCTTCTGGATGTTGCTGGCAGAACTCGGCAAGGCTCCCGTGTCTTTACGAGCTTCATAGACTTATCGGTGTCAAGTGGCCAAAGGGTAGGCCAGCTTCATCGGTGTCCTCCGAGGATGTAGGCTCTTTCAAGGATCAAGGTTATAGGGTTCATGGGGTTTTGTCGAAAGCACACGGCAACCTGGCTTCTGCCGGGGTCATGGACATATTGTCAGTGATGTGCTCCGACTAGTCGAGGCAGCCAACTGTCCTTGCTATATGCTGACAGTTGTTACGAACTTCACTAGCAAAAGAAGCAGAAAGCTCGGTGCCATGTGCCGGCCCAAAAATGCCAATACACCCCACACACCTAAACGGGCGCTGCAAAAAGTCCCACCACGCAGCCGTGCGTGCGGCCACAAAGTTCGCTATGGCTCGCCATACAACTTGTCCGAAAGTCCAGCCCGCATGCCAGGGCAAATGCGCCCGTAATAAAGCAACATCCTTGAAGCCACTCTACACGAAAGTCGCCATGCCGACAATTGCCCTCGCCACTGCTGCTAGAAACTCGTGCCGATCTTGCACTTACGAGACAACATGTATGCACTGCTGAAAAGCACTCTAAACATGCTGGACGAGGGACCTGAAGGTGGGGCGGACCTCAAGGGAACCTCCTACTATACTACAGTGAACTAGTAAATAACATCTACCGCAAGCTCCACAGACTTAGCTTTCGAGATTACGAGTATTACACTCCACATCCCACACCCTACGCCAAAACGCCCTTGCATCGGGCCCATTTGCCTAAATGCTGAACCCGGAAAGCGTATAGCTTAGGCTCAGACTCCAAAAAGCCCGGATCCAGAAGAGCCCTGAACCCGACGTGTGAAGCGAGCGGCCGCTGAATTGCTTTGGGTTTTGGCTTTGGGCTTGGGGCTTAAGTTTTAGGGTTTAGGGTTCAGGGTTTAGGGGCCGAGGGATAGTAAGAAGGGTTGCTGTGCATAAAGCCTAGCTGCCAGCTACAGTCAGCATCCGAGTGAAAAGCTCACATGACCGTTGCACAGCGGGGCTGCAAATCCCAATGTGTGGTACATAAACCCCAACTTACGAGCGACTTTCTCGTTGCCACGATCCTTAAAACGAAGCAGGGTTTGCACTACCCGTATACCGAGAATGACACCTAAACTCATACACCCGCCGATATTCCTAGGAGCCCTCTGAAATGCCCTCACCCACATCCCCTCGTAAACCCCAACAGAATCCTTCAAAAAGCCCTTACCATCACTTTACTAAATCCCCTCTAAACCCACCAAAACCCTACCTTCAAGTCTTCGAAGCTCGGAGGCCCGGATCCGACTCTAGATCCTAAACTAGTTCAAAGCTTTAAGCGTTTAAAAGTTTAGAGCTTGAAAGTTTAGAGTTTTGAGTAACGTTACGTAAGTTTTCGAGCCTTCCCACAGGAGAAGAGATTTGAGTCTGGGGATTGGCCATTGGGCTGCGCATGTGCAAGATACATAGGAGATCAAAGGCTGGGCATTAAAGCTTTGGCGTCGGGAGCATCTCTCGGCTCTATCAAGGCCACAGATTATGGCCGGGTCCTCTTCGGCGCTGTGGGCAGCGGCAGCATCAGCGTAACCATGGCAGTCATGGCGCAGGCTGCCCAGCCAACCACCTCCCTGTCCAGACTGGAATCATCTTCGAGTTTTCATCCGTCTTTTTTGGGGATCTTCGAGGGTTGAGCGACTCTGCATCTTGTGACTTTGGACATGCTGCGTCCGAGTACTGGTCGTAGCAGTAGCAGCAGTAGTAGTAGTAGTAGTAGTCGTCGTCGTCGTCGTCGTAGTAGTAGTAGTAGCAGTAGTAGTACTCGTAGTACTAGCAGCAGCAGCAGGAGGAGGAGGAGTTGTCGTTTCTTCCGCGTCGAGTTTGCAACCTCGAACCGGGTCGTTTGGAGGAAATTCCGTGTTGTGACGGAGGCTCCGAAGGGGGGGCAGGGCAGGCCTCAAACAGGCAGGATGCCACGAAACGCCCGTGCAATCCACCACACTCACACGCAAATCTGGGCACACTGCTAAGTCAGAACCTGGATCGAATCTACCAGCCTGGAGAGTTGTGAAACGTTGAGCCAACGAACTCGGGAAATCCTCGACCACCAGCCATAAACAAGCTGAGACGCACGATCGTCTTGAACAGAAGCTTCACCACATGCACCAGCAGGATAGGTTGGGTCGCGCCAGCCACAAAGCAGATGGCGTAAAGAAGCAGCCTAGACTGCAGGGGCTGCGCGGACGGATGTGTAGCATGATGTCACAAGTGCTTTCCGCATCTATGTAGCTGCCAGGAGTCAAAGAGCGTTGGATGTAGGATTCCCCCAAGCAACCAAGTACCATCGAGCTTAAGCCGCCTCAGCCCCAGGCCCCCAAACCTTGAACCCTCTAACCCCGAGGCCCGAAGCTACGTGTTTTGGTCGTAAAACCGACCATGATCGAAATTCATCAACTTCGTACCAGAACAGCAATTAAAACCTATGACGGTGAGCATTCAACAACACCGTCATAGTCATCACCATACAAAGAATTGCAAGACCATACCGAAGATCATCTTCCGTCGGCTAAGATCGGCCGTGGAGCTTCATCGGTGCGATCAGATCTTCCTGGCCCTGGGGGGAGACATGTAGGACAGGGGACGGGAAGTTGAAGACTCAGAAGCCGTCTCTGTATTGTCAGAACGTCCGTTCATGCAAATGCCCATCTGAGCTGCCTACAACAAAAAGAGCTTATGACAGAAATCCTAATGATAGTAACTACAATGATCTATAGTCCAGAGACACAGCTGTGATACTAGCATTAATAGCACCAGCACTGGCAATGCTAGTTAAACTGCAAGACGTGATGTACTACCTATGAGAATCAGAAGCATCAACGACATGGAAATGACAATCATTACGGCAATATACGGCAATGCAGCTAACCATAGAAAACAGAATTCCTACCAAAAACCAGTTTCTTCGTTAACCCTAAACCAAATAACCCTCACCATTAACAATGGTAAACAGATGCCTGCCTCGGGGTTCGCTTCTTTCTCATCTGCAGTGCCCGCTGGACCCTGCTCATGCGGGCCAGCCACGCGCCCAAAGAACCTTGGGTTTAGGGTATGGGTTACTAGGTTTAGGGTTTAGGGTTTGATAATGATGATCACGGCATTTCGTCACATTAGGGGGTGGGTCCATTCAATCCCTCTGTGGTAGGACCGAAACCCTCGACCCTAAACGATCATCTTCTGAAACTCCCCATTAACGTTGCTTCGGTTTAGCGTCGGATCTCCCAGTCGCGGACTTTCTGGGACTTCCCTCTTCGGATTTCTGAAGGATTTAAGTGCAAAGCGTTTTCGATTTAGTGCTTGAACATCCGGGCGTGCCTGAACCGAGTGTTGAAGCGTGCACGCAGCGATCCATCACCTTCAGTGCAAGGAAAAATGCGAGAGAACACACTGCATGTACATTTATGTGTGTGTGCATTTTACTACCTATATATACATACATACATACATACATACATACATACGTACATATTGTGTATGTATGTACATATATACATTCATTCAACTCATGGACACTTTCGCGCAGACATAGTTTCATACATACGCAGATGCATGCATGCAGTCATGCTTTCGTTCAGTCATGCCTTCCTTCCTCCTTTCATCCACCGTTCGTTTCACTTCATGCGTCACGCTATATGACACCGTTTGTTGACTCATTAACTCACCCTTGTCCATGCACACAGGAATTCATGCATACTTGCACACACGCATGCACACATAGATGCAAGCATGAATAGATGCAGGCATGCATGCACATGCACATGTGCGTAACGATTCAATATGCACAGACCACTAGAAAGGGTGGGTGTAGGGATGCAAGGGTCTGTAAGTATTGAAGTGTCGAGACACGGCAGGCTTACGAAGCGAGGCTGGTGATGCTTACAGTGCGTATAGCGTTCGCAGGAAACGGAATGAGGCTTGCTTTAAAGGTCCTGATTCTACGTACACTTGCTGATAGGCTCGGCATTTAGACTATTGGAGCTCGAATCAGCATGCAAATCAGAGATCAGTTGCCGGGAACGTGAAGGCACCCTGGAACGACTCGTGCGCTGAGGAGCCAAACCCTGAGGCCCCTAGTTCCGGCAAGCAAAACCCTAAACCCTCAACCCTGCTAGAGCTCCAAAACTGCACGAATCTAACAGCCCGGAAAGCCCTCGACAGACCCGCTGAGTCCCCAAGCCCTGAGCCGGAAAACCCACCAAAACCTCCTTGGAAAAACCCTGGGCATCAGTTCAGCGCCTGCGGCCGCAGTTTCAGGCTTCAAGATCTCACCTGCGGCTTCCAGGCGTCGGGCTCCGGCTTTTTCAGATGTTCGTGGAAACGATCCCTGGCTGTGGCCTTTACATACCCGCTTCCGAAGTCAGGGCTTAAGATTACGGCTGAGCTGCGGAAGAGCAAGTGTATCCCTAAACCCTAAACCCTAAATCTTAAAGCTCTAAACTCTAAACCCTAAACCCTAAATCTTAAAGTTCTCAACCCCAAACCCTAAACCCCAAGCCCCAAACCCTAAACCCTAAACCCTAAAAACCCTAAAACCCTACGTATCTTGAGACTTCCGGGGTGGACGTCTTAAAAACGCAGCGTGCGGGGCGCAGCCTGCACTGGGCCGCTCCAGACGAGTCCAGGAACGGTCCTTCAAAGAAGGCTCTTTGAGGAGTTTAGGGTTTAGGGTTTTTAGGGTTTTTAGGGTTTTTAGGGTTTTTAGGGTTTTTAAGGTTTTTAGGGTTTTTAGGGTTTTTAGGGTTGTAGGGCTTTTAGGGTTTTTAGGGGTTTAGGGTTTAAGGGGTTAGGGGTTAGGGGGATGCAGGCTTTCCCAGCTTTCGGGTCAAAGGTTTAGGGCTCAAGGAGCTTAGGGTGCTTAGGGCTTTAGGGTTTTAGGGTGTAGGGCTATAGTGTTTTGGGGTTTTAGGGTGTAGGGTGTTGGGTTTCAGTGTTTAGGGTTTCACGGTTTGTGGGCTTAGCGCTTAGGGTACTTAGGGCTTTAGGTGTCTTAGTGCGGGAACGTTCCGGAGCCGAAAGCCTCAAATGCCTTCGGCTTGAGTCGAGGCGCGGAGATGTCTCTGGCTTGACTTGAATCATTCTCGACCAGGAGGGACCCCTAAACCCTAAGTACCCGTGTAGGAATGCTTGAAGCTTTCGGGTTGCGGATGTTTGGGTGAGGGGCGCGAGGGTGTGAGTCCTTGCAATCTGGCCCCTGCGACCGTTGAAGTCTCGGAAAGACAACCTACCTACGCAACTCCACTCGTGTGTAAGGACTTGGAAACGGGACCGATACTCGTCTTAGAGCGGCGGGTAACTTGCGGATCACGGCCCTGGCAGGCAAACCTTCGACACATTCAAAACCGGAACAAAGACAAAACCCACACAACAGAGAGTGCTCGCCATACTGGTTGTGTATGCTGAGTGTTTGTGTATACATGGGTTTCTATGCGTGTGTGTTCTCACTTTTTGCCGCAACGTCCGAGAACGTAAACAAGAACACACTCACACACCCACACACACACACACACACACACACGCACATACACACACACACACACACCATGCAAGGCATCTGGTCGTGGTCAGATCGTTGCAGTTTCATTGTTTTCGCATGCCTTTGCATCACGGCGGAGATGATTATCAAGATATGTTGCTCCTGGTCGGGGCTCCACAACTGGACGCGTAAATCAACCGATTTACCTGACGAGTATGTACAAAGGGCCAACATCAATGTTTCAAATGCCGAGCGGACTCGAAGAAGAGTGCCAGTGCCGGAAAGACTGGTGAAAATCAGAATGCGCAGCACACCAAGAGCACTACAAGCAACTCAAATCAAGCCAACAGCAGATACCGAGGCCAACAGACAGTGAACTCACGACGTCGCCGTGTATCCCCAAGCTTAGTGCCAAGGCTTACGATGATCGACTTAAAGAGGACACTTCCCACTCTAGTGATGCAGGCTGCAGACAACTTTTGCATCAGAATATACAGCAACCTGCGAATTGTAATAACCGATGTGTGCAAGTTCATGGGTTCTGTTCGCTTGGCCATTCAAGTGTCCCACAAAAGAGTCCGGGCATGACGAGACGTTGTCTAAGACAGACGGAGACGGGCTATCCGAACTTCAGCTCCCCTACAGGGCATTGCTGCTCCCTACAGAGCATAGGGCATAGGTTTGGCCATTCACAGTAGCTTGTCGTGGTAGGTTGTCATGGGTTCTGGGCAAGGACATGCAAGCACATCCCCTCCTCCTCCTCCTCAACCTCTGCCATGTCTTGACACTGAGCTCGTTCACGTGGCTCCTCCAGGGCAAAGCATGCAAAAGCGGTCACCGAGGCGACCCAGCGCCACGCGTATCCACCTTTCCTAACTCGACTACATCTTAATATACCGGAACAAAAAGTCGTATGATCACAACAAAAATTTTTAAGGATATATAGAAAATATATAGATACAAAAAGTTTCTTTTAGAAAAAGATATCTGCACACAATTCTTGCAATTTTTGAAGCCTCCTGGAGGACTGGAGGCTCCGTTGAGGAATCGCTTTGGGCGGCGGCCATGGCGGCACAGAAGCACCCGAGCCTGTGGCAATTTATGTGACCCTCATAGGGATCTATAGTAACTCCCTGAAACCCTAAACCCTAAACCACTATGATAACTAAAATCATAGGGTTTCTTTCATTATGGCAACCAAAATCAAAATTGAAATCCCCTAACAAGAACGCAGAGAAGCACGCGAGCCCGGCGTGTTCGGCCCTGGAGCCCGGGCGAACACGGTTTAGGGTTTAGGGCTTTAGGGTTTTAGGGTGTAGGGTTTATTGGGTTTTGGGTTTAGGGTCTAGGGTTTTAGGCTTTAGGGTTTTTAGGGTTTTTAGGGCTTTAGGGGTTTAGGGCTTTAGGGTGTTAGGGTGTATCGCTGTCAGGTGCTACATGTTGTTATATCACTTACTGTATATGTGGGTCTAAGGTCCCCGGGATGCATTTCAATATGATGCCATATGTTGCCATATCTTACTGTATAGTATCATATATTCTCACATACTTCAGTCATTGTACTATCGTGACCGCAGCGAAGGCTGTGGGAATTAGATGACTGTTGAAAGTGCAGGGTTGCATTGAGACTGTCAACCATGTGGCGAAGGGCATTGATCACTAGAGTGACCTGTCTACTTCCCACCAACATCTCCACAGGACAAGCATGCGGTTGTAACCAAGAGCTCCAACAGACACCGAACCGCCAGAGCGATACTAAAAATACTCCACCGTGTTTTGGGGTTACACGTCAAACCTGTCGGACGGAAGTGAGCATTCGACGGGACTGCGACAGAATGCAGGACAGACACCTAGCGAGTTCGACCTGGACACCTTAGGTTGGTAAGTATGATATAGAAAAGTTTAGTTCAGTATGGTATAATATAGCATAGTATAGAAATCGACCTAGCCTGGTTTCGAAGTGCAGAGATGTGTTTGTTTCTGGCTCAGTTGGGTTGACAAAGTGTTGGCGTGTGTAAGAGAATCTAAGGATGTGTAGGGCTCAGGCTGGGCATCCCGAATGTAGCTTTGAGCTTTTCATGTGACAATTGTGGCAACAGTCCCAGGGATTACAGGTCTGGAAGGCACAAAGGCTAAGCCCACCCTGTGCGGAATCGGCATGCGGGGCTCGTGAGTCGAGGCTTTGTGGCTTTATCCCTAAACCCTACTCTAGAATTAAAGTATAATATACCCCAAACCCCTATTCTAATTCTTATAAGGTCCCTATCCCCTAAACCCTAAACCCTGAACTCATAAACCCTAAACCCTTATGATGTCTTCAAGGCTTCTATGACATCAATAGCCACGTACCGTCACGGCTGAAGAGGAAGGGTGAAGTGGTCTGAGGAGTTGCCGAGATGGCGAAGTTCTGACGTGAAGGTTCATGCAAGTGATGATACGAATCCAGCATGATCCTAAGGCCCCTACACTATGGGAATTATGGTATGTTCAAATTCCTTATTATGGAAAATGCAGGATTCATATCATCCACCCGTAGTTAGGGGCTTTGGGATCATGTAGCCTAAGGTTTGAGGGTGCAGGGTTTCGGCCTCGCGGCTTAGGGCCTGGGGCTTCGGGGGATTAGGGTTTGGGGTTTAGGGTGTAGGGTTTAGGGTTTAGGGGTTTAGGGTTTAGGGTTTAGGGGTGTAGGGTTTAGGGTTTAGGGGGATGGTGTTCACCGGCTCCCTCTTCGTGCGTACTACAACTAGAGTGGGCCTGCCTCTAGCCGAGAAGAAAAGAGTCTGTCCGTGGCATCCTTTGATTAGGGTTTTAAGTTTTTGGTTTAGGATGGAGGATGTGTATTTTAGGGTTTCAGAGCGCAGTGCGTAACCTGATGTAAACACCATGGCTCCTTCCCTGAAGTCCATGGCTCAAAGAAATCTTAGCAGACACCACCACGAGCCTTCTAGAAACCTCGCATTTCTCGCTGTCACTTAAATGTCCTTGGCCTCCGTGCAAGCCTCAACGACACTCTGCCATCATCGTCCGTCAGGTTCCCGAGTTCCCAAAACATAGCACCCAAAATTCGAAAAGCATCTCGATCCTCCCCGTGCAGCCGCGTATGAGCCGCAGCATGCACGCCGTGGAAACCCTGTCTTCGGGAACTGGGGAACCTGCCTATACAGCACCTGGACACTGGACAATGCTGTTCTTGCGAATGGTGGGTGTCGCAGGCCATGCGCGGACGCGGAAGTCTCCAACAGAATGAGATCCTGTTTGCCCCTAAACTCTAAACCCTAAACCCTGAGCCTAAACCCCATAATGTTGGAGTGTAGATCTTGGGAGGGATCTCTGGAAACTGCCGAAGGTACCCAAGGGCGAAAGAGCGGCCCGGAAGCTCAAAATCGCCTTACAGGGGAGGCGGCTCCAAAATTCCGGGGGGGACCCTTCATATGTTTTAGTAAGCTAAGAGTTTCGAGTTTAGGGCTTAAGGGTCTTATTTTAGGGTTTGGGATTTAGGGTTTAAAGTTTAGGGTTTCGAGCTTAGGGTGTAAAGGTCGTATTTAAGGTTTAAGGGCGCACGACTTAGGGCTGAGGAATCCCAAAACGGAGGGATCCTTTCTTGCGGGGACCCCCGGCAGGTGGAGCCGCTGAGGCTGAAAGTCCAGGCCTCTGTACGGTTTAGGTTTTAGGGGTTAAGGTCGTTGGGTTTAGGGTTTATGAGCTCTAGTTTTTAGGATTTAGGGGTTAAGGGTTTTATGAGGTTTAGGTTTTAGGGCTTTGGGGGTTTGGGCGGTTTAGGGTTTGTAAGGTTCAGGGTTCAGGAATTTACGGTTTGGGGTTTAGAGTCTAGTCTAGGGTTAAAGGGGATGCAAGCGAATTCGCCCCCCGTCTTTAGACAGGGCTGGCAGCATTCAAGAAGATGCAAGGTTTGACTACAGGGGAATGAGAAGATGTTGGAGATGTAGGCCTCAAACTTGCTCAGTTGTGGCAAGTTCGGGCTCCAAGTCTCTACTAAACAGATGGCCTCTGAGACTGTTGAGGAAGACAGGCTCAGTCCCCCCGGTTCAACATGCCACCCTCTACAGTAGCTCCTCGCCCTTAGAGTCATGCGCGTTAAACAGCAGCTCCTAGAGGCTCTCCTTCTATTAGAGTGAGATGTTGGGGAGGGCCACTACCTTGGCAAGCTTCTTCCTTTAAAAAATAGGCTGGCCCTGGGTGTGCCTTGGGGGCATGCCTCAAGACGGCCTCGAGCGGTCCTGTAATTTTCGGGAAAGGGCTTTTGGGCTTTGCACTGCAGTAGCCCAGCTGTTCCCAAACATGTCTGAGACTCTAATGTAGCGGCCCGAGACATGCCCCATCTGAGACACCCCCGGTTCTGTCCGGCCGTGAGGGATGCAGGAGTGCCACCTCTAACTCACCCAGTATTTCAAAACAAGGCCGAGTCCGCCGTCAGCCATAATCCACTTCAGAAGGTTTCCGATCTCGTGCATCTGATGAAGGGTGTCCAACTGGTGCCAGTTGCTCAAAAGCCCATGATCATCAAAAATCAGCTGTTGGAGCCTCTTGTTGAAGACGCGCTTGTCGCTGATCCTGTTCAGAATAAAGTCGACATCATCTGCATTGGAAGCCGCCATGTCCTCCACCTTCAGCGTGCGAAGACTCTCCTCATTGTCTTTCAGGACTTTCCTGGAATGCACCTGTACGTGCTGCTTCAGGCCGGCTGAATCTGCCTCCACGAGTTCAGCAACACACCATGCCCTGCGGAAGAGAACAAACCTGGGAATGTCCAGAACTGTCTGACTGTTGGAGATGTATCTTCAGAACTCCCGACTCCTGCTACTTTGGGTGAATTAGGGGCCGCGGGTTTCAGACATTCCGCACCTTGAGTCCACAGCAACCAGCTGCGAGAAACTCGGCTTGTGTGCCTGGGCTGCCCCAACAGAGAGGTCATCCTCCCTGAAACCTAGGCCTTAGCCCTAGTCTGTTGAATGTGCCCTACACCCCGAAGAAAATGCAGTTAGTTTGACTCGTCGCACGTCCTTAGACAAGGGCCCGGTTGCTGCCACCATGGCCATCATGTCGTCAAACTTGTTCCTGGGCTTGAGATGAACCCTTGCAGCATGGTTTTGGTGCTCACGAAGAGGGGTAGAAAACGTAGTGTCTTCACCAAGCACCCCCAGTTCCGAGAGCGAGAACAACTGAAAATCCCCAACATCAGGCGCCGTTGACATGCAAGGTGCATCTCGCAGTAGATGCTCTGATTGTTCACCTGCACTTACTTCCGGATACGGATCCGAGCTCCAGGGAGGTTAGGAGATAAAGGTCGAAGGGTTTGGAGTTTAGGGTTCAGGGTACAAGAGCCTTGGAGTTGTGTAGGGATCGAGAATTTGGGAATTGGGTTTCTGTTGGGCTTCAGCAACGCGACGAGGGACTAACACCGAGCAGCTCTCAGTAGGGATTCAGGGTACCAAAAAAATTGACTTGAAATTCCTAGAAAAGGTCACAGCACCGGAGAGGGGTGGCCTGCAACAGCGGCGGCGTGTTGCTGAAGATCTTCGGATGGCGACAGCGGCAGGGAGGATGGACCTCCAAGCAGCTCTTGGATGAGCGCTACTATATGCTTACATGAGGGTTCCCGAAAATAGGGGACCCTAATATAGCACCCGAAGTAGTAGGATCCTTATTATAAGGACCCCGAAATAAGGTATATGGATGCTGTAAAGGCTTACCGGCCTAGGTTTTTGAGGTTTTTGCCGGGCTTGCGGTTCAGCTCTCACCCAGTAACAATCCGACGGGATTGCTCTTTGCACTCAAAACGAATGATCAACAAGTGCGCAGGAGTTTTGGTAGGATATGCTAGGTAATTCTCACGCCCGCACCCTGGCTCAGCCGAGGCAGCACATCGCCGGAAGAATCAGGCACTAGCTTGCGTGTAGGGCACAGTTCTCTAAACTTTGCACATGAGACTATGAGGTTTCGAGTCCTCAATAGTGGAGGATTTGCTTTGCAGCCCTGTGCCTTTCCAGTCCAGGAATCACAATCGCCGTCGCGGTTCTCGCAGATGGCTGAATGCTGGTTCACCGCGAAGGCACAGATCCAATACACCCGATCGGCCGTGTGTCGCTGCTTCCTTGGGAGACACGGCGACGGCTTGGCGGGGTGTTAAAAACCCTAAGGACCTAAAGCCCTAAACCCCAAGAGCGCTGCCTTAAGGTCCGAGTTTCATCAACCTTCCCAAAATGGATGTGTCGTGCTCCAGATGATTCGCCACCATTTCGAAGCTGTTCTCCCCAACAGCATCAGCGATCCTCGGCTGCAAGACTTCGCCAAATCTGCGCTTGGCGAAACATCGCTGACCCCCAAAACCACAAGGAAAACCACTGAAGGGGTTTAGGGTTTAGGGAGCTTAAATGAGTACAAGCCCATTCCGCAGGTCCAGTGAGGTCAAGGGTCACGGCGGCCACCAAGTCGCGGAACAGGTTCTGCCAGGAGTGCGTCACCATCTTGTCGGGAAACCGAGGCTCACTGACGATGCACGAAAATGCGCAGCTCCGTACCTCGTTGAGGGATCTGACTTGCATTATAGTCTCCGAAAACAACAATAATAACATGAGTTGGCCGTATTCAGAACACTAGCGATACTGACGATAACATTCCCAAATAAATAACAATGGTCATAACTACTCAGACTATTAGTAACCATAATGTAGGAACCTGATTCAGAAATCCTGCGCCTTTTAAGGGTTCTTAATACGAAACCTAATATATATTGGGGTCAAAGGGGCCAGGGTTTCTTAATCAGGTTCCTACATCAGCCTTCTTCGGCCCATTCTTACCCTCCCCGCCCCCCTGAAACTGGACCCTAAACCCTAAACCCTAAACCCTCCCCGCCCCCCCTTCTTCGGAGCCTGGGTCGTCGGAATGATGGCTTGCCGAACCACATCCAGGGTCGTATGGACCTGAGGCCTTCTCCAGGGATCCTAAACGGGCTTTGGCTTTAGGGCTTTAGGGCTTTAGGGCTTAGCGCTTTAGGGCTTTAGGGCTTCAGGGCTTTAGGGTTTAGGGAGGGCTTTAGGGTTTAGGGTTTAGGGCTTTAGGGTTTAGGGCTTTAGGGCTTTAGGGCTTGAGGTCTTGAGGGTTTAGGGCTTTAGGGTACCCTTTTCAACCGACCGACCCGTTTCAGGGCTCCCTGATATCCTGAACTGAGTCCTCAAAAAGGGTACGTAGGTTATTTGGGGTTAAGATAAGCCTAAACCCTTCAGATTTTGGATCAAAGGGTGGAACTGGTACTGGTGAAGGGATCGAGGCTAAATCACGGTTGAGGGGGCTCCAGTCCTACACATTGAGTGTTAGGGCCCTCAGGAGGGTTATAATTTCCAGCGGCATCGAAACATGCAGGCTACATGTTCTCTGGAGTTCGAAGCTTCCGAAGCAGAAGCTCACTTTGAAAGATGGTGCAGGTGCCTCCAGGACAACCCATCTGATTTCAATTTCTGATGCAACTCTTCTCTAGCCGACAGCACAAGGAAGAGGGAAGGAAGAGCCGAAAGGAAAGCTCTGGCACGAAGGGCACTGTTTCTAGGAGCCAGCTTTTGACCACCCCTCCTTTCTGGGAATCAGCATCGCTGGGACCCCGAGGTTAAGGCACCTCCTGCCCATGGAGCCCCGGGCTTGAGGAGAATGGCCTGTAGATCCCTGAACCCTAAGCCCCCCCGGCCCGTCGGGCCTGTAGTGTGGCATGGTGCGCGCCAGATCTTGATAGAATTGGAGCAAGGCCTGCCGATCCGGGATCAAGGGCTTGGGGATGGTGAGTTGCAGTTTAGAGTCTAGGTGTATAGTGTCTAGGGATTCGGATCAGTAGAAAACAGACAGTCGGATCATCATTTTCCCAGGCCGTTGATGCAGAATATAGAGAATCCTAGAACCGGTCATCCGGCGTTCCAACTTTATGGAATTTACACTATAAGTGTAAGGATCAGGGAAACTTAAAATCTTGGCGACTTGGCTTCGCTTGTGCGTGGTATTCAGTTATTGCGACGTTTGGACCCCTTAAAGGTTAGGCTTTTTTGAAGTCCAGCCTGCGCGGTGATGCCTCTCACCTTGTCTGCCCCACTTCCCTTCTAGAGCATCCAGATTTACAGACAGGCCTCTCCACATCTTTGCAACACTTGCCATGGCTGAGCGCTTAGAGGATTAAGGGCAAAAGGAACACGCTTTTTCATACGCCGCCGAGTCGCAGAGAGCTCCCTGACCTTCTTGTGCCATTCATCCAAGTCAGCCGACATCTGGGGCGCCGTTCGCGATCTTTTAGCAGCCTTGCGAGTTGGCAGTTTCCTGAGCTGCTCAGGAAAGCCCTGGAAAAGCGCAAAAAAACACTGCAAGCCCAAGCTATCCTAGAAGAGCCCGAAAACAGCTTACGACTATGATTATGATGAATGTTATTCTGTTTATTCCTGTTATTCTAGCTACTCTTCTTCATTACTGCTACTGTCATTAGTTTCTTATTGTTGAGACTATTCATAATCTTACCATTACTCTTCTTGTTATAGTTATATTGCTACTACAAACAAGCTTCGACTTGCTCGGCTTCACCTCTGTTGCGGCTCGTCTTGGCAGCTTGTGGGCGTTGGACAGAAACCAAGACCCCAAGGTGTTTCCCAGCAGCACGACCATCAGAATATAGGGCAGCTCACCGAAACGGTTGAAGTTTATCAGCACCCCTGCACCGACTTCTTAAAGGGATGCTGTTTCAACTCCTGTTTCAAGCTTCCGCAACATCCAGTCCCACCACCAAAAGCTCGACAAAATCACGACCCAGCTGCGGGCTACGGAGTAGGCGCCAAAGGTGCTGGTAAAGGCGAGGGTGAGGCCCCAGGTCTCTTTGCGCATGGCCCTCTGCGCACGCCTCACGGCCTCGCACGCCGGCGTCGCGCGCCTGGTTTAGGCTGCGGGTTTAGGGTCTCGGGCTTTGGGGCTTAGGGTTTCGGCTTGAAGACCCTCCACCAAGGCAACACTACAAAATGAGCCGACGCGTGCTATACCACAAAGCAGCCTGGAAACTCGGGTAACCCTTGAGGTATTGTCACTACCATTGGTCTGCTTCCTTAGACCAACTCTGAGGCACGAAGGGTTAGAGCCATTGCAGATGGTTTCCTTGCTATTGCTGTTATGGTTCATGGCCGTCACCACATGACTACAGCATTGGCACGTCCATAGGCTCGTCTTCCCCTTGTCATTGGCACCCAAGCGACAGTCTTCTGTATGGGTGCGCAATGTAATTCACCGGTTGGAAGGGCTGGCGAGAGGAACAATTGGAATACTACGTACCCGCTTGAGTGAATCCCATCGCCCCTACTGACGATGAGTGCCGAGTCGCTCTCCCAGGCCTGTAGCCTCTGCTTCTGCCTCTTTCAGGTGCCTCAACACCTGCACATAGGCCACCAGAATCCTTGGCTTGCACAGAGAACCACTCAAGAGGATGCAAAGGACAACAGTAGGGCGGGTCCAACGACATTATAGTGCGTTTCCGGACGGGCAATGCGGCCACAATGGTAAGGCCCTAAACCCCAAACCCTACACACCCTAAACCCTAAAAGACTATGTATTAAACTAGTGGCAATGGCCAAACCCCAGGCCCTAAAGCCTATGCTTCGCTCGGGCCACCCCCTGACCCGACGGTAACCGTAGAGACGTCGAATCCAAGAGCACCAGACACAGAAAAATCCCAAGCTAACAAAGAGGCGTCTTTGCAGTCAGTATTGTTCTGCCGGCGCTCCTACGCTAAGAAAACCACTGCATCACTGCGGATTTCCATCAGCTTCAGCTTGTGCCGCAATTCAGAAAGTTCCAGGAGCACAGTTTGCGCACACTAATCGTGCTTGGCCGCGCCAGAAAAGCTGGCCTAAATAAAACAGAAATATAGCATTTGCTGTCGTGGCTTGTGGACACTCTCACCGGTGCGTCTGAGCATGTGCCGTTTCCCCGGTGCTTCTAGGTTCAATACAGCCTTCTCAAAGATCTACCAACAGGGGGCAAAGCTCAACATGCTAAATTCTAAATCACTTTGTGGCCCTGCGGACAAGGGCCAAAGATTTGTCCCATACCATCTCAAAATACCCATATGCGCCTCCCTGGGCATTCCGAGTTCATACTTACAATCCTTTAGTGCGTATTCCCATCGGCCCGGCAGCGTCTTTTGCAAGGCCAGCCGAGAGGCCGCCCACAAAGCCAAACAAAGCCGCAGAAAATCGCGTCCTCTGTCGGACACACATCGTTTTTTTGGCTGTATTTGCTGTGCTACTAGTAGCCATCTTCTGTTGCTGTAGTGTCAGGAGGAGTTAGAGTCGTCGAGTCGTAGTCGAAATACACTTCGAAGTGGAGCTTCGTAGACTCTTCCGGCTTTCTGGGTTTTCCTTGGGGGCTGAGTCCATGTTTAGCGTATCTACTAACAGGCTCACAGGCGCATCCATGTCCGGAGCAAGAATCCCGTTCTATTGCAACCGGTTAACTACAGCACCACCCATGTCCAGATTCAGAGGCTCACCAGACCAACCATTCCCATTCCCAAACCATGACAGCACCCATTTCTCAGCGCACCTGTTCACCGCATCCATGCCCAAGCCATAATCACTTCCATCCCAAGTGCGAGCATTCATTCTCAAACATACCCCAAACAGAATAGCGTCCATTCCCGAGTGCATTACCCCCGAGTGCATTACCATTCCTTCGAAGATTGCCCAGCTAGAGCTGCGGGCACGTGTGAAACAAGAAAGCTATACTCTGCTGAACCCGCCGCTGCATCAATGGTCATGTCACAAGCCCTTCGAAGGCCTAGCGCACAACCCAGCGACCTTCTTGCGCAAGCTACAGACTCGGCTCTGTCACGGTTTCTCATACTGCAAGACACGCGTGAAAAAGATCCGCGATGCAGGGTGCTATGAAAGTTCAGGGCAGCTTGGCACAATTCACACCGCTTAAAGCAACGCAAAAGGCTTTCGTACTCAAACTTCAACTGTGACATGATGGATTCCGCACGAACACGAACAGGCAAACGACACGGAAAGCGATGTGACGTTGATATAGCTGGTCCCTACCAGTTTTTGGCGGTCATGACGGCATTTCTGCTGCCGTGGCTGCTTGTTCTGGTGTTGCTTGTGCTGCTGGCGCTGCTAGTTGTTTGCCTTATGTGCTGGCGTTGTTCTGATGTCGCTAATGCTGTTGGTGGTGGTAGCAGCAAAACACATTGTGGTTGATGCTGCCAGGTTTTCTGGATTGATTGAAAAGGTTACGCACACAGCAACCTTATCAAGCAACAGTCCTGCAAAAAGTCGACACCTCGGCTCACAGGTGTAGGCAAAGGCATTGTGAGCGCCACAGCCATGCCCACAACCTCGCTGGCTTGTAGCACAGGCAGGCAGTACGAGAAACGCAGACTCCCGAAACCGAAAACCTCAAGAAATGCGCCCTGCATCTCCGGAAAGCCATGTCCACTGAGCACATGCCAGCGTAGCCTGGCCCAGGATGTACACAAGGCCGACTGCCCAAAACACCTCGCGTTGACAAACAAAAAAAGGGGCTTCCGAAAATCGGGGACCCTAGTATAGTACCCTAAATGGTAGGATCCTTATTATAAGGACCCCAAAATAAGGTACCCTAATTGTTCGGAAAGTCCCAAGTGGAACAAGGATTCCAGCTCAACTAGGCCCAACAGACCCAGCCCCCATTCGCAACACACAGGCGGAAAGACATTGAAACTTCTGTAAGAGGGGACCCTGTCATTCAGCCCTAAGAAGAGTTGGACTTCTTCGGGGTACTCATAAAAGTCATGAGAACCCCCCACCTCATCCAAATCTCCCCGGCCATTTGAGATCCAGGCATGAACGGAAGCAAACTTCCAGGCCAGCTAAGGGCATTGGGACACCAGCAACACGAGTCCCGCTTCTGCGAATTATAAGAGCTGATGCTTGCGGCGTTCCTTCAGCTAGAATGACCCATTGAATTACGAACTGTCCTACTGCCCGCTGCTATGCTGGAGAAAGCGAGCACGTCAGAAACCAGGAACCCAGTTCAATACATCCGTCTTGCTGTGGGCGTCAATTTCTTCCTTTCATGTTGGCAGCTAAATCTCACTAATCGTTACCTGTCTTCTGCTTTGTACTGCTTCGGCTCGTCCCAGAACTGTCTCATACCCAGGAATTGATGTTTCTTTCGTCCTCTGACTTCGGGTTGGCTTTCATGTGCAGCTGCTCGCTTGTCTCAAGCAGAAATGACAACCCTGCTCCTTTCAAGCTACTTCACAATTCCAGCATTCTCCCGTTGGCGACTGTACATAACCAAGGAAGAGAGGAATCCCAATAATTACCCTTTTGCATCGTCATGGCAACACGTTCAAAGCAGCAGCAGAAGTCACAACCGCCATGGAACCCTTCTCAAGTTGGGGATGAACTCGTACTCGGCAGAGCTCTGCAAGCAGTCGAGTCGTTGCACCTGGAAAGCTGCCAACTTCTGACGAAGCTCGCACGAAACTGAAGTTCCGCTTTTTTGGTCCGTATGGACGCTCGAACAGAACATCCCCACACCTTTGACGGGGAAGCCTAGCCACAGCCCTGGATCCTCAGCCTGCATCCGTAGAGCTGCATCGTTGCCCCAACAGACTCGTCAACTCTAAAATCCTTCCCATCAGACCACGGGACGGAAAGCAGAATGAGCCAAACTTCCTGTATCGGCCGCAGACTGTCGTTGCTCAGCTTGGTCAGCCTTAACCGGGGATCTTCTCGTCCTCAGAGCACACCCAAATTAATTCTTGTTCTAATTATTGTCTGAATATGTCTATTAAGCTCGTTCTAATCATCAACCGGCGGTGCTTGTTACTTCCATGGCTTTTCCACAGAAAGCTCCACAGATATACCATCTCGGGAATCTCTCCTAGAGAGGCCTAGGCCGACTTAAGACCTGGCGCTTCACGTGGAATAAACCCAAACCCTCTAAACCCTCCAAACCCTAAAGGCCCTAAACCCTGTAA